AAAAAAAAAAAATTTATTGCTTTTTCGCTAATGTTTTGTTTGCTTTTAAACAGCCAACAAAAAAAAATTACATAAATTTTTCTTTTATACTTTTAGAATAGTCAAAATAAGAAAAAATTTGCTTTTCTCAGCACTAAAACGATATAATAAACAAAACTGTTCCAAAAACGGTTCATAAGTTTTAGAAAATTTTATACATTACAATCAGTAATAAAAACTGGAAAGCCTATTTTAGACTTTTAAGGGTAGCACAAAATTGGGTGTTTAACTGTTTCAATGTTGAAGAAATCTGTTATCTGCAACTTTTTAGCTATTCGGCAACATTAGGTTATAATTGACCGAAACAGAAAACTCCTCTGAATTTTACCATTAGCACCAACAAAACATATAATTTTAGCTGAGTTCAACCATCCCTGTACCAACTTGCAACAACTTTTGTTCTCAGAAATATCCCGAACTTTTTCAACACATCAGTTTATTATTCCTTCTATTGGTAACAATCCATCATCAAGACCAGACTTTGCAACTTTTCAAAACTTGGCTACTTTTTTTTTTTTTACAAGATGTTTAGACTTCAATTTTTAGCTGAAATTGTTATGACGCTATTAAAGTTAAATTAACTATAAAGAACAAAAAAAATAATATTACCCAATAAATCGGTTACTTTTGTTAAAAATAAAAATCTGCTTCCGCTCTAGGATACTCGTCGCTTTAAAAATCCGTTTAAAAAGTTATCTTTATCATTAATAATCTATAAGAAAGAAATCAACGTAATTGTTACCTCTTCAAAGCTGTACATCGTTTCCTGATCTGAGCTAGTACCCTCTTCACTTACAGATGCCTGTTCACTTTTATAGTTTTTATACATCGATGCTTCTTCCGATGTTGTCACTGAACCTACAAAAATAAACTAATACCTCACCTCATCCAAAAACCAAACTTTTTTTATGATCCTAGTTGTAAGTAATTGTTGTCATCCAACTCAAGCCTCACTTAATCAATAGTAAAAAATTTTTGCAAAACAGAAAAAATTTCTACGTTTCTCTTTCCTTTCCCTACTTTTTATTGTTTAAATGTTGTCAGTGTTTTTTATTCTTAACGATAAAAACTACGGAAAAACGGCCTGTCTGTTAATTTAAGAATCGAACATATACTGTTATAGCTCACTTGGCGACACAGTGTTTTTAGTGTAAACACCGTCAGTAGGCACATTTGGCATCACTGATAATTCTTTTATCTGATCAGGACACGGGCAATATCTGTCTGCGGGACCTAAATCGCAAGTTTTTCTTTATCTCTCTTTCTATGGTAAAATCATCTCTGTAGGTATTAGTGATTTATTTCATTACTGAATACTCCAGGTTTTCCTGCAAGGCCAGGTTTGCCGTCTTTACCAGGTTCTCCTCTTGGACCGATGGGACCCGGTTCACCAGTTTGTCCTAAAAAATAAATTTTTTAAGTGGGGAAGAAAGTTGTAAGTGGTGTATAAAGTCGAATATTTTCTTAGACAAGTTACCTAGACATAGAACTGTTTGAGCTGTTACAATAACTTAATGAGCTACTACAATAATGCATAAGACATGAAACGTAAGTCACAAGAAAATACCGCGAACTCCTTCATCCCCACGTTTGCCCGGTGGACCTTGGTCACCCTGTGGACCTGGAGGTCCTCGAGGACCCTTTTGTCCCCGTCTGCGCTTATACCGAATTCCGCTTCTGCCCGGTGGCCCTTAAATTATTGCAATACAGGAAGAGTTACTTCTTTAAAAAATAAGCTTCAAGGCCATTTCTGATTAATAACGACAAATTATACACAGAGATGGATCTAGCAGAGACTTGTAATATTCAAAAACAACCAGAAAATTTTTGTTTTCTGAAACTAAATCATAACATAATTAGGCAAGATCAAAGAACCATTCAAAATTTTCTGCAGCAAATTCATTTACTTTTACGGATTAATGTAACTATGAACATAAACAGCTTGTCTGGTAAGGTAGAAAAGAACCATCCCTTACCGTCTTCCCCTGCTGGTCCCTCTGGCCCTGGAAGTCCTTGGTCACCTTCTGGCCCAGCCTCACCAGGTTCACCGTCAATACCTTAAAAGCTCTGATGAAAGTCACAGTTGTAAAAGACAAAGCTGTTGAATGTAAAAAATAATAGAAAAATTCTGAAAAAGTGCATATGCCGCGTCCAACCAGGTGGGCCTGTCGGGCCTTTTTTGCCAACTGGACCTCGACGACCTCTGGGCCCTCTATATCCAGATGGTCCCTTTGGCCCTGGAGGACAAGGAAGACATGGCTGTGATGCGATTTGATACCCTCCTGCATCTGCTCCAGGCTCTCCGGGAGGACCGTCTACGCCATCTTCGCCTAATTACAAAAATCTATTAATTTTTAAGTCAGATCCACAGAAACTAGTAATTAGAATAGTTTATCAAAATGACAACTAAAAATGCTATTTTTAAGGTCTCCATCGTTATCTGAAACTATTCAAATATTTAAATATAATTGACTTTAAAAAAAAAAGTACCATCTGGTCCAGGATCTCCCTGCGGTCCCTTTGGTCCAGGTGGACAGCTGCCGACTGAACCCAATGCCTTTTTCATTTCTCCTTAAGACAGTACAATTAAACTGAAGTGATTAATGTACTCGAGTTGTCACAGTTAATATTATTGAGTGTAACGGTGGTAGTTCGAGCCGTATACGTTTTTTACTTGTTACAGTTATTCAAATTCTTATAGCTTCATGTAAAAATTAGAACTGACAACCTTAATTTGCAGTTTTTCTTTTTGGTAAACTTAAGAATTAATATAGCGCTGACGACAGTACAGATTCTTTTTTGTTTGTAAATCACCTGAGACGACAGCCTGTTTCAGCCGTTTCAGACAGTGTCTCAGCAACAGTTTACACAATCTCATACTGGAAGCTATTTTGTCAAATAATTTTTTTAAAGCCATATCTTTGGAAAGATCAATCAATGAATTTTCAAAAATGTTTCCTAGTCTCAGAAAGCTTCCTTTTTTCATTTTGAAATATTCATTTTTCTCTAAATTTGAAATAAAAATTTTAGAACCAATTTACTTCATAGTTTTGTTCACCTTTCTTTTTTCTAAATACTATTCTGCGAGCCAGTCTAAAAGGCAATTTTTAGTAGCAGTTAATAGTACAGCAAGAAAAAAAGTTAAAATCTACATAAAGACTTCATAACCACAGCATACCGATGAGTTAGGTTGTCATCGACGTATAAAAGAAACTACTCTTTCAAAAGTTGCAGAAAATATTTTGGAAGTATAACATACTTTGAAAGAAACTCAGAGAGTGGAATATCTGTAACTGTTCAATAACACAATGACAGGGTCGACAAGTTTGGTTACACTCACCTTTTAAAGCTGCTCTTTTCAGTACATCATGGTACTTATCGTTCAGCCTCTTTTCTCGGTATACCTCCTTTAAAATCGTTTTTGAAAGCAATTTAATTTCAGCTTTCTCGAGGTCAAATTCTTGTTCTATACTAGCTATTAAACTTAACAGCACTGGGATCAACAAAACTAGTCCAAATAGAGCAAATATAGAAAAGGTGGTGGACACCTTTAACCAAAATGCTGTTGTTTTCAGGTCCGTCATTGAAAAGTCTAAAAATGTATTTAAAGTTACTAATATAATAATACATTGCAATGAATGGTAGCCATAAAAAAAGTAGTTAGCTAGTGCTGTTAATCGTTTAGGCCTAATAAGACGGTTCTCACAAAACGAGAGAAATAGTCTTAGTTTGATGGAGTAGATTTTAGTCTCTGAAATGTATTACGTATTTCATCTTTTGAAATACCCTGATTTACTAACATCCATAAAACAAGTGGTCTAAGTACATCTGATAAGATATTTAGATAAAGTCATGCATCTATTTCATGCCACTTGCAATCCGTTTTCCTGATGATTTTGTATTTTTGTTTTTATTGCTAAGGAAAAAGGAATGAACAAAAACAAACAAAGACTTTTAACGCTGAAACAAAAAAAATTTTTTTTCCTTATTATCACAAAAAAAGCATCTGTCTTTAAAACAACTTATCTTTTTTTTCAACAGAAAATCAGATCTAAAATAAAATAAGCAGTTTTTCCAAAAAAATGGCATGATGACTGGTTCAAAATGAGATATTTTATGGTGACAGACAATGCAAATGGGTTCCTATTAAATATTTTGGTACAGTCTTTGCTTCTGGTAATTTTACCAGCACACTTAGATTAAAAAAATGTTCTGAACTGCAGAAAAAAAGAGGATACAGAAAATAGACGTTTAGAAAACGTGCAGCAATCCCAGCTCACTGTTAGCAACCTTTCCGCTGTAATATTTTCTGCTTTCTCGAGAATACAGACTTTCAAACATTTGAGAAAAAATTATTGTTGCACAACTTCACCTTATTTCCAGTATGCCTTATTTTTAAAACTATTTTTTAACTCAACTCTGAAAGTAGTCATGGCTTCTCCACTGCTGCTAATCTACATTTCCATTTTTAAGATATAATTCATCCCGGTCAGAAGCAAATTTCTAAGTTAATGATGTCCAATTAATTATTTCAATTAATTACCGGCCAATCAGTATATCACAGAATAATGCTGCACTGCAGCAGTATTTCAAAAATGACCAGTTGACAAAGGATCTGTCCTTGAAATCTTCCAGGATATCATTTGGTACAAGGTGGTCAGTGGTATCTTGAAGTTTTTTTCTAAATAAGAAATAGCGCATAGATTGCGGTACTGACTGCTCTCTCAGGATACTTTGTGGTGTCCATATGTTTGGGAAAGACAGTAAGAAAGATGATTTTTTGCCAAATTCTGATCAGCTGATATGTTCACACAGATCAGCAATTTCTTATCGTCAAATCTAAGTCTAATGAAGACAATCGCCAGAACTGCCTGGCATAATATGGCAGAAAAATAGTGGCCAAAAAATCGGCTGTTTTCTAATTTCACTTTCTTCCTTGTTAGTATCATAAATCCACAATACGTCAACAATCACTACGATCTAAAATCAAATATTTCGTAAGTGGAGCACCCAGTTTTGTTTTTATTTCACTAAAAACATCACTTCTAAGCAGGAGTAAAAAAAAAAAAAAGCACTACTGTTTCCTGCAAATATATTAAACGATAAAGAAAGCACAAAAATGTTTTAAAATCTGATTTTATTTACATGAAAATATTTTTCAACATCTGTAACAATCAACGACCAGCAACTATAAATTACACAACAAAGCTGCCTCTAAACATAAACTTTCAAACGCATTTCAAAGTTATTACCAACAGAACTGCGTCTCAAATATTTCAACAAATCACATATGCAGAGCCTCAAAATGAAAACAAGACAGTATACAGCCAAGCTAAGAAATCTAAATATGGAATTACACTGCATTTTGACTACTGCGCAAAAGATTTCTCAATATCACTAATGTACTTTAGGAAATACACTGCAAAATGCTAACAAATCACTGTGCACAGAATGTACAACATATAACAGTTACGGCCCTGACCAACAACGACCATTTTTCTCCTTGAAAATACATACAACTTAAAGAAATATTTTTAACTCATTTACTCTTCTAAATTTAAGTAATAAAACAGTCGTTGTTAATAATCAAGCTTCCTCTTCAACTGGCAAAGTCAAGAGCCCTTTAGAGACTTTCGAAATTAGATATAAAATTCCAGCAGTTATCCTCAAAAAAGCCTCAATTCAAGCAAAAACTACTAACTGTCAAAGCTCTAGTTCAACTTGAGAATCACAATGTGTTAATAAATTTTGAGCGCCTTTGCAGTACAAAGCACAGCACCCCTGACCAGCTGTTTTTCTCAAACAACTTTATTCCGAATACCCGCTTTCTGCTTTTCTTTCGCTTTAAACTTTTTCCGATAAGTAGATTCCTCTGCATTATCATCGTCGCTGTCCAATACATTCTGTCCCCTCTTTTTCTTTTTCTTCTTCATCTCAATAATTCTTAAGTCCTTAAACAGCAAATTTGGTGGGATAATGCAATAAAGCAATGAGTTTCTCATACGTTAACAAAAAACATGACTGTAAATACACAACGTGATTATTAACTTTTTAAAGATAAAGTAAAAAAGGTAAAGTTTCACGAGTTTAAAGGTAAAGAGTACATGTTTTGCAACATCCATTGCCTCTTCGACTCTTTCAACAAGTACCATAACGTCGTTTTCAACAGTTTCGTACAAAGGCAACTTTTTTCCAAGAAGCTGTTCTATTCGCTGGTAAACCTAAACAAATCAAAAAATAAGAAGTTTGTTCTAGAAAATTGCAAAGACATATTTGGAATATAAAAACGCACTTCAACATCATACTGTGTCACAAAGGTTACTGCTACTCCAGAACGACCTGCACGTGCTGTTCGACCAACCCGATGAATGTAGTCTTTTGATTGACCAGGTACATCAAAATTTAGAACAGCATCAACATGAGGTATATCTAGTCCTAAACCACTTCACTAATAGAAAATACATAGCTTAATGTCAAAATTTCGATTTGAAAATAGAAAAAAACTAAGAAATTCACGGCGCAAAAGCATCTTTGAACAGCAAATTCACAACTGAATCATTATGGCTAAAACAAAACCTCGAGAAGCTACATCAGTACAGACGAGTATTGATCGAGCCTTGCTTTTAAATTTATTCAAAGCTCCTAATCTTGAAGCCTAAAATAAAATTGGTATAAAATTTGGTAAACATGACTCTTATTGCAATTTTAAAAGTTATTTTCATGTACAGTGTAGGTCACTTGAAATGCCGCTGCTTTTACTATCTTTCTAATACAAGTGGCAGTTACTTGACTCAGTTGGCCGTGAAGCGGTACCGCACCAAGCCCCAACTCTCTTAACATCATCGAAATCCTCATTACAGTTGCACATGTAGAACAGAATACAATGCACGTCTGCCCAGCCATTTCATTCAAAACGTAAACTAAATAAGCCTCCTGAAAAAAGTGTATAAATGCGATATTCCTTAAAAAAGACTTAAAATCAAAAACTGAAAACCTACTTTAAACTTCTGAGGAATAAACAAGTAATACTGCTTTAACTTTTCCACGGTTTGGTATTTCGATGACACAGTAATACGAGCGGGATCTCGCAGAGAAGCCCTTTCCAATTTAGCTACCTAAACCTTTAAAAATGATCAGAGAGAACGATCAAAAAAGTATAGCAACTGAACTGAAAAGCTTAGGTGTATATCGCAAAAAAAACAAAAATATATTTTTTTAACCTTCTTTGTCATTGTAGCTGAATACAAGTAAGTTTTTCGTTCTTTGGGAATAACTTTCAGTATTTTATCTAGCTCTACTTCAAAGTCCATATTCAGGATTCGATCAGCTTCGTCAAGAACTAGATATTTCAAAGCCCGCAAATTAAATCCTTTAGTGTTTTCAAGGTGGTCTACAAGTCTACCAGGCGTAGCTAAAATTGCTACCTCCATACAGAGAGCACAAAATTAGCTATATTAACAGGAAACCCTTTAAAAACTTAAAACATTAAGATCAGGATTCAAATGTACTATAATAAGTGAAATACCAATTATGACGTGAGGACGTTTTGCCAAAGCCAAAGCCTGAGTAACCATATCAACACCGCCAACAATAACAGCTAAAACAAATAAATTAAAATGGACAAATAGATATGCTTTAAGCACCAGCTGTGCTTCAAGAAAACCAAATTTTGGGAAACCACCAAGTGTCACAAATCTAAAAAAACCCACGCATTACCTACTAAAAGACCAATTGAAGAACCCAACGCCTCAAACTGTTCTCCGATCTGTACAGCTAGTTCTCTTGTGGGCGTCAAAACGAGAGCAAAGAGTTTCTGGGGTGTGTCTAATAACGCTTGCAAAATCGGTAAAGCAAAAGCTGCCGTTTTTCCCGAGCTAAAAGATTTCAACCAAAAAAAAAGGATGAATGGCAAAAAAAGCTGCAAAACTTAAAAAAAATTTTTGGACATTGTACCCAGTTTCAGCGAGTCCAATGACGTCTCTTCCAGCTAAAGCATAAGGAATTGCAGCACATTGCACTTTCGTTGCCTTTTTCCATCCCAAACGTATGCAAACGTCACATAAAACATCCCGGACGCCCTAAAAGTTAAATTCACTGGTAACTGGCAACAGAAAATACTGCATGTGATGCCCTTAAAATAACTCACTAATTGTTCAAATGTCTTTTCTTCAGCAACTTCAGTTACGCAGTTACCATCGTTTAATTTGCTCTTTTTACTTTTAGCCGCAATCTGTTCGTCTTCTGACGAAGAGTCAGACATTCTCCGGGTTCAAAATCGGTCACTTATGAATTTCAAAAGCGCAACTAGAAGACGAAAAAGCAAGTGAAACTCAGAGGGTTACTGAGACAAAAATTCCTAATAACAGTTTCATATGAAAAAAAAAACAAAACGTAAGCCAAATGCAGAGAAAGCCATCAGTAAGAACTACCGGCAAGAGATTTTTGTATACAAAAACGTGAAGAAAACGTAGTAAGAAGCCGATTCAGGAGACCTAAGGCCGGAAAAATCCAAATCGCCTAACTGAATGTTTGGTACTGTAAAATTTTACCAGCGAAGAAGTCAAGAATTATAAGTAAAATTTTGTTCTTTTGCCAAAAATAGAACAAACAAAATAAAAATTACTTCTCTACTTTGCAGCCCTATATTTCCGGGAAAGGCGCTTGCGGTGAACTACGCTTGGGTATAGGACATTAGTAGAATCGTCCACAGCATGTTTTTCTTTTATGGCAGCTCATGCTACATCTTTTATGATGTCTGCAGTGTATCTGTCTGCAAGATTGCTAGAATGCCAGTTGAGAAAAAAAAATGGATTATTGATCTCAAACTGCTTACCGAAAAGATCGTACAGTGAATTCGGTTTACCAGATACTTCATTTGCTGAGGTTCAATTCTCGTAGTTTTGAGTGCAGCTCTATGCCATCTATGTTAAAAATCACTCACATTTCCCTTTAAAGCTTCGAAAGAAGCGGATGTTGTCTAGAATACTCACACAACACTATAAGGCAACAGAACTACTCAGTGTGCCTAAACGCTGTTTTTTGCTGTTAAGAACCATAATAGAGTTCCCTTGGTTTTACTGAATCAATTGGCAATGTTTTTATGAGCATTGGTCTGAATTATCACCATCAGCCACGACGAACCCCTAATTGTTTTTCGGAGGTTCATATACATGCAGAAGTAACTCTGTCTTGTATGATGATTATGTAGTTGCTTGTATAATTAAATTGAATCTACGTCTAGGCGTTCTGGCATATAAAACACGAAATCGTTTTCACTTTTCCAATATTTAAAAAAACTATGATTGTGGAATGTTTTGGAAAAAAAATTTTTAATAGTATTTTTGAAATAGGGAAAAACGGACAGCTGGTCTTTTATGGTTTGT